CGCCCGCCGGCCCCGGCCCCCGGCCCCCCCCACCTCAAGCGGCTCCGGCGACGCTGGACACAGGAAACTCCTGGGTCCCCGACTCCGGCTCTCCTCGACCCCCCTCTTCGGTTAACTCCGCTTGTTTCTCGACAAAATGGCGCCGGAGGTCGCGCGCTCACGTCGCGGCCTTTCCCCTCCCCGTTCTCATTTCATCATTCGCTGCCCGCTCGCGGAGGGACGGTCCCGGCAGCGACCAATGAGTGCAGCCCGACCGGGGCCCCCACCCAATCACCGTCGGATGCCCGCGGGTTTCAACCAATCCCACACTATCCCTGGCCGAAGTCAAGGAAGAAACCAGGCTCCTGCTAGCAACGACCAATCCGGGCGCCGACTCCGGGGGCTCGGGCCAATGGCCGCTCGCCAGTCCCCAGGGACCGGATCGGAGCCTTCGCGCCTGCGCCCCGACCGAGGGCCAATGGGAAGACGCGCAGAACTTCGATTTGGGGCTTCTCCGACTTCCCACCTGCCCCGAGAAACAATAAATAAGCGGAGCGGGGGGAGCTCCCGTAAACCCTCGCCACTCTGCGCGGGAACTAGTTTGAGTTCGAGGGGAACCTCCTTCCGTCACTCTCCTACCTCTTTCGAAGTGTCAAGTCCAGCAGACTGCGGGGCTTCCCACGCTTAAACATTCCCCTCCCCTCGGGTCCCCCTGGCGTGGAACACCAGCCATCAAAAAGCAAGCCAACTTGTAACTAAAAGGGGTGACGCTTGACATCCCGGGATACATTAGCGATGCCCCCCTGTCCCCCCGCCCGCCGGACTCCTGTCGCAAAAGGTATGTGTCTCTCTCTCTCTCTTCTTCCGTCATTTACGGCGCCCTAGGGGGGAGAGCAGTTGCATGCTGGGAAATGTAGTCTCCTAGGCGCCACTTTACATCAAGACAACTTTTTCTTCTACTTTTGCCTGTTAAAGAAGGGATGCATTACAGAGAGGTTGGAAGCTAAGGTTCTCTTTTTGGCTTACGACTTGTAAGCGGTATCAGAAAGGATACCTAAGCTCTTTACTCTCAGGGGAAAAGCACAGGAACGTATCTTTGGCTATAATGTATTATATATAGTAGATGATAGGGTTTTATGGTCATAGCTTTTGAAAAAACCTATCCTCCTCATCATCCCCCCACCAACACCACCTCCCATTCTAAGGCTAGGCTCAGAAGCACTACCTTTTGAGCCTAAAAATACCTTTTTTTCTTTAATTGTGGTAAAAGCACAACATAAGATTTACCATCTTAACCATTTTCAAGTATACCATACATTAATTAGTGCTAACTACATGCATATTGGTGTGCAACTGAACTTGTTCGTGTTGTAAAACTAAAACTCTAGGCCTGGCTGGGTAGTTCAATTAGTTAGATCCTCCTTCGGGTACCCCAAGGTTCTGGGTTCGGTTCCAGTCAGGGCACATACAGGAATTATCCAATGAATTGCATAGATCAGTGGAATAACAAATCAATGTTTCTTTCTCTTCTTTTCTCTCTCTCCAAAAATAAAAAGAAGTTCGAAAAAACAACAAACAAAAAATTTGTTTCCTTCCTCCAGTTCCTGACACACACTGTTCTACTTTCTATTTCTAATAGAGTTTGAGTCCTTCAGATACTTTGGAATCGTGCACTATTTGTCTTTTTGTGACTGGCTTATTTCACCTAAATATACTTTTTTATACCTGTCTTTCCTTCGTTAGAGGCCAACTCTTTCAGCAAATATTTACTGAGTGTCTTGTGTTTTCAGGAACTGAATGAGATTTCAGGAACCCCACATATAGGGAGCACAAAGATTGCTTCAGTCTCATTCCTAGCTGTATTCCCAGCACCTAGCACTGTGCCTGGCACATGGTAGACATATGAGCAAAGAAATGTTGAGAAATCAGGAGAAATGGACTTACAACATTATAACGTTACTGGTAAAAGGCCCCTTAGACAGACCAAGGATGAGGAATAAGGCCCATCTATTCATTGTTGCGGTGTGAAATTGCTAAAACCTCTATAGATAGCCCTGGTTGGTTTGGCTCAGTGGATAGAGCATTGGCCTGTGGACACCACAACTAACACCAATGGTTATCCCCGGGGAGGGAAGTGGAATGAGGAAGGTTAACGGGAACTTTTGCTTTTTATTCCATATGTTACTGTCCTCTTTGAACTTTTTACAAAGAGGATCTATTCATGTTTTATTTGTGTAACTTAAAATATTTTGTTTTTAAAAAACGCACAGGATGTGATCCCCATAAAGGTCAACTATCCAAGGTTAACTCCGTCATTCTACAACTAGTTCAGGTCTCAAATGCAGATCTCCTAAAACAAGATGTGTTGAGATAAAGCTGAGTTGCCTTTTCCCACTTCAGCCTGTCTTGACCAAGAAAGTGCTTTGCCACTTTATACTGATGTTGCTCCGAGAGACCCTGGAGCCCAGTGCCAGCCCCTCCCCCAGAGCTGCACCAACAACACTCCAGGATTTAACCTGCCTTGGGGCTTTAACCAAATACTTGCAGGATTCCACAGTCGGCTGAAGATCAAAGTCCTTCAACTGTGTGTTTAGAATTCATGGTGGCATGCCCTGGCCAGGTGGCTCAGTTGGTTGGAGCTCCTCCAGTACATCAAAAGGTTGCAGGTTTGATTCCTGGTCAGGGCACATACCTAGGTTGTGTGTTTGATCCCCCTGGAGGCAATGATGGATATTTCTGTCACATCAATGTTTCTCTCTCTCTCTCTCCCTCTCCCCCTTCCTCTCTCTAAAATCAATTTAAAAAAAAATATCCGTGGGTGAGGATAAAAAGATGATAGATAGATAGATAGATAGATGATAGATAGAAAGAATTCATGGCGGTGTGTATCCTTGCTGGAAAGCAAAGAGACTGCTTACAAACTGGAAAGGGTATGGAAATCATCTAGTGCACTTTTTTCGTTTTACTGAATGACGTAGTTCGAAATCACAGCCAGACCAACTATTTTACTAGAGACCTTCACGAAGGATTCACAGAATCACCTTTTAACTCAGCAGTTATGTGCCCTGAGGTTCAAACATATTTAGAAACAGCTGTTAATTACTCACCTGCTTCCAGTCCTCAGTTAATTGTGCATCCAACATTCTGGAAGAGCTTGATAAACTCTTTTCAGTGTTTCCGAAAATAGCCTGGAGAGGGAAATGTAGGTGCTGGGAAACAACAGCTTTAGGGAGTTGGGTTGGGGTGGAGGTAAAAATACCTAGAAGAAAAAGGACTTAGAGACGTTGAGATCTGTGCAAGTTATGTTCTAAAATGCTTGGAGGTGCCAGGGAGAAGGGTGAGCAGAAAGACAAGACCTTACTATTCTGTGTTCCTGTTTCTCAGTCCCATGTATCAGATGAGGCAGTGACTACAATTTACAATAGTTTTGACGACCATCTGATCTCTGTCCTAGCCAAAGCCACTCATGGACAGCCTAACTCTAAATTCTCATCTCTTCCCAGCGCCATTCCGCTGCCAAGCTTTCTGAGTCCCTGGGCACATGGGCTTCGGTGTGACTTTGATGGCTCTGTGTTGAGGACATCTAGGCATGCGTATTACAAAAAGCCTTTGGAGAAATACCGAAACCCAAGTCCTAAACTGGGCTGTGGCCCTAACTCTCTGAGTAACCTTGAAAAAGTCACTTCTCCTCCCTGAATCTCTTTTATTATTATTATTATTATTAAATATATATTTTTCGGTGCGCAGGCCGATGCTCTATCCACTGAGCCAAACCGGCTAGGGCCTGAATCTCTTTTTCCCTCTTCACTGTTTTGATGATACTGGACAGGCATTCCGTGGCTCCCAGATTGTGGACTGTGAACTTCAAGGAAGCCATAGACTTACTGTGGGGCCCTGGAATTCTTCTATGCATGAGTTGTTGTTTTTTAAGTCAAACAATCTAGTCTAAAAGTACAACTCTGCATGCTTTATCTCATCCACAACTCAGGACACTGTGACCTAGAGACTGAGTTATATGCCCCATTTTACAGATCATAACAGTGAGGCTTAGAGAGGTGAGTCACTTACTTGCTCTAGGCCACATCCCCAGTCCTGGCAGAGCAAGCTGACTCCCAGCTCACATTCTCAGCCACCGCCCTAAGCTGTGCTCTGGAAAGCCCCCGGCCTAGGTGACCTCCCAGCTGTTATGTTCAACGGCCCATTAGTCAGTAACCAGATGGTTTCCCACCAAGCGATGTGATGCACCGTGCGGCAGGGTGTTATCAGTCAGTGAGGCAGTCTGCGGACACTGCTGTGTGTTTGGTGTTTTCCAGCTGAGTTTACATTTGAGGTCTTACATTCTCTCCTGGAAAAGGAAAATGAGAGAAGCAGATTGGGGCTGGGAATGGGAGACTCCAGCCTCTGGGAAACCCTACCAGCAGCTGAGGAAATTCCCAAGAAGGAGCCTGGGCAGGTCAGTGTGGGGCACCATGGGTCCTCAGCCTTGTGCACCAGAGAGATAGGCCAAATAGGACTAGTTGTCTTGATAGCATCTGTTTCTGCAGAGCAGTGGTTCTCCAAGCGTAGTCCCCTGACCAGCAGCAGCTGCACCATCCGGGAACCTGATAGAGGGGCAGAGAGGGGAGTACATTCCAGCCTAGAGCTAAGCTTTTCTGATCCTGTATCTTTAGACATCTTTGAGGAATTGAAAGACCAGGAAGGCTGGAGCCCAGAGGTATCCAGCGACCTGCCCCCGCCTCCCCGCCCCTGCCTTCAGGGTCAGCCCTGTATCCTAAGGGCTCTGGGAAGCCTTTGACGGGTTGGGTGCCCAGGGGAAGAAATTGCTCGGGGACTAACCATGAAGCTACTACAGGAGCCCAGGAGAGGTGGTGGCCTTGAGAATAGAGGCGAGTGGAGCCCAGAGAGGTGGGAGGTAGAAGTGTAGGGCTCTGGCCATGGGTGGAATATGAAAGGTGAAGGAGAAGAAGTGGATTGTCTGCCAATGGGTGCCTCCCCGCCATGAAGCAGGGGAACTGGAGGAGCAGGTTTGGGGACAGAGATGGTGAGTTCAGTTTTGGGTTGAAGGTACCTGTGGTTCACCGGAATGGAGAAGCTGAGTGCCCCTCCCCCCCATAGGCCAAAGCTGTGCTGGTGGAGAATGGAGTCAGTGCCCGGCGGGTGGCCTTGGGGGAGCCTTCAGAGAGCAGAAGTCCCGGGCCCTGAGCAAAGCTGTGCTTATGC